TCTCTGGTTATGGTTAATACTCATCGTTACCGTGCCTCTCGCACAGCGAAATCGGCATGTTAAGGTCATTCTGAAACTGAAAACGTACGCTCATTAAATTGGTTTTTCAAGTTTAGCATGGCAATATTCATTAATGTTCCTTGTAATAAATTAAAAAGCGTCTCATCAATTGTCAAATGATTTAAGCATTTTATTATGGAATTATTTGATATCTAACCGATTGTTATTGAAACGCTAACTTTAGCCTTAAACCCAAATCTAATGCTAACACAAACCCTAGCCTTCAACGGTTATTGAATCCCAATGATCAACTCTACCTGATTGTCCTAAGTAAAAGTCATTAATGCTAAGCATCATAAGTAGGACAACAGCACGTATTCAATTAATAAGTTAATCCTCTCTTAACAGCAAATCACAAATGAAATCCTCCTCCTGTAATCAAAAATACACTGCTGACACAACGACACAACCTTTTTTACCACAAGCTGAAAATATTGACAAACATTTGCATGCATACCGAATGCAATTTCGGCAGCATCGCAAAAAAGTAACTAAAGCTGGACTGTGTTTTTGATCTCTGGTTAAACTTCGGACTGAGTTGCGATCACCAGAACGATAAATTTTATTTGCTCGAAATTTCGGTAGGACTGTCTTTAGAGGTCCTATGGGCCTTTAACTTATTATAATAAGCTACTTTACATTTTTCCCTAGCCCGACTTTCCCTTTTTTCTTTGAATTCCGCCAATTTAAGGGCTAATTTCCATCAATAGACATCGGTTTCCTGGGCAACAGAAATTTATGTTGATGGAGTTGATTCTATTCAGCACATTAAAATAACAGTAAGTGGTTTAAATTTAATATTCTTTTATTCCTCTCGACACAATTACATATTCATTTACATTCGTTAACCGAAAATTAAATTTGTATCAACTAATTCCGTTAGAGAGTTGGGCGGGGGAATAGATATTTAGGCAGCCCTACAAAACAATCTTGTCGAAATTTCAAATTCTCACTCCTGTACTTGGTGTGATAATTGCTGGAGCATTCACACCGGCCATTTTGCTGTGTTCGCGCGCGCGAATCCCGCGTGACCATTTATACAGCTCAGGCAGACTTTCCGCGTATAATCTGGAGGTGCGGCCACTGTGCTTGTTGATACATTGTGGACCGGAAAACCATGACTTAAGTAGTTTGCGGCCCACGCGATTATCATCTCTCGAAAATCGCGGCCTCATCCAAACGGTCGGATCAACCCCGACCTATTGTAGACCTCGAATTCGCCTTTTCACTTCTACTATCATTCTTGAAGCATTAAACTTGTGTCAAAAATAGGTCGATAGAGAGCTCCATTGTAGAATCCGAGAGTTGCGCGGAATATTCTCTCAACAAGCCAGGCCACGCAACCGCTGTTCAGCGGGTCAGAGTACAACCGCCTATTTAGATGGTTCGACCGATAGGGTCCCCGTGCTCTGGATGCAATCACGGTGCCGGGAGGGACACATTTCGTTACAGCATTAGCAACGCCAGTAATTCTGAGTATCCAATCAGCCAATATGGAGTAGCACTTGGCCTGGGAGTTAGTAGCAATGCTCCGTGTCTAATGGCAAACTCTCGAGTCGGTCTCGCGATTGCGAAATGTGACGTAAACAGTGAAGTTGCCCTTCGAACAACTACGAAATCCTTTAGATCAAGGCACCTTGGTGAGTAAAAGTCCATTTATAAGGTCAAAGATATGAAATGTGCGCCTTTGAGGGTCTCAGTTTGTGGTTTACAATCAAAAAGGGAGAATAAACACAATCAGTTCGTACTCGCAGGCCACCAAGCAGTGACGGTTGCTCTCTTGTCCACTGGAGGTCGGGGTCTGCGCAAGTGGGCCAACTACACAACTGACCTCGAGAGACAGTAATTATGCGTTTACGGTGCCGTTTTCGGGCAGCTATAGTGACTATAAAATCAGCAGAGCGCATGGGTAATGTGCACAAATAAGTCTCTGGCAGCAGCAGCAGTTGTAGTTAAGACACTGTGAAGCGAAAAGGAGCCATAGGAATAAAAGTTTGTAACCAAAGCATCAAACCAATCGGTAGGAATCTCCTGTGATTTGGTAGATTAGGCTGTCCTGGATAAGACTCTCAAGGATCCTTTTCAGAGCAGCCATGGAGAGGCCGGCATAACGGCGTCCGACGCCCCTTGCACGCACCTTAGTCAGAATGAGGGCAGCGGAGGCACCAAGTCGATTAACATCGGAAGCATTCGGGATGGCTAAAGTGTAAATAGTACCGTAAAGGTTGCGTAGAAAACTCGAGCAAAGTAACAAATGCAAGCGGGTCCGAGGACAGGAGAAGGACTGAAACAGGTCTGCAGAAAGACTATTACTGCAGCATGAAATCATGCTGAAGACCTGGAGCAGGGGTCAAAACTCTGCTGCGCCACTTCCGACAGTCAACATTTGCGGTCAGCCTAACCACTCCCTGCAGATCTACAGGAGAAGGCCTTTGCTCTATAGTACCCTTACAGGTATTAAAATATTAAAAGTTATATACTTTCATAGCTGCCGATCCCAGGATCCTTGAACACTCTCTACCAGACAACTAGGTCTTTGCCGACGCGGGCACCGAGGTCACCAAGCAAGATCAGTCTGTCCGCTTTCCGTACGGTCACCGAAACGGCGTACAAGTCTTCGTGAACTTGCATTTCATCTCCTCTGATTAAGTCATTGGTGGGGGGGGAGAGACGTGGGCGCTTATGGTGCCGAATCTGTTTTCCCGAGGAAACAGGCGCGATTGTAAGACGGTCGTTTATGCCCGTGGTAGACAGTACAACTGCCCCAAATTGCCGTCTTTGGTGGAAAAGGCGACGTCGGCACCTCGCCGCCCTGGCTTTCCGTGCTTGCTCCGGAAGGTGTTTTGGCACCCACATCCTCCAGTCATCTCTCCTCAAATAAGTATCTTCAACCGAGGGCCG